CATATTACTAAATTACACTTGCAAATAGAATATTTTTGTAACAATTATTTTGTATGTAACTTACCTGTACGTAAAGATGGTCTTGCCATACTTTCAACAGGTGTAATTATTGCAGGCGATCTACTAGTCGTTGCTCTTGCATCTTCTGCTGCTATCGAAGAACGTAATTCTTGTGTATTTGGAAATTCTCCACCAAGTTCAAAATCACGAAACTGTACTCCACCTATCATATATAAATATTATACGTGAATTAACGAAAACTCGGCCTAATGTGGACCGAAGGGTGGCCGAGTTTGTGAAAATGCTGGGTTATCGGGAATGGAGTTAAAAAAATAAGTACGAGTGTTTCCTCAGAAAATACTGTACTGTACTTGTATGTATTGTTTACTTGAGAATATAACAGAGAATAAACTGCCCAAATACCCCTAAACAAAGGAAAAGTACGTCCTTTATGAAGGCATAGAGCCTTTACTACATAAAAATGAAAATTAATGAATACACCGTGTACAGTAATTTACCTGAAAAGACAGATTTCAGAAAAATACTTTATGAGATCTTTTATACTTTTATAAAGCTGTCTATAATGAAAATTAATTAACTAAGGATTTTTTTACCCTGCCAGTGTGTGGCCGAGTTATCCGGAGTGCCGGGTTATCGAGAGCCGAGTTTTCGAGGTTCTACTATATTAATAAACGCCACGTAAAAATTTAGTTACCTCCAATATGTTTCGCTTAAATTTGACTTCAGCGAACATTTACTAGAAAAAAAAACGCCCTCATAAAATTAATAATGAGAAAAACTTTTTAAAATTTCTATTTTCGAAATAAAATATATGTATTTAGGCAGAATCTATTGTAATTTACAGAAATCTCATGTAAGTTGATAAATTTGTATGTATATAATAATATTATTAAAAAAACATATACAGATATAAATATTGAGTAAATATAATTTTCATTAGTATGTAGTTAATAGAAAAGTTCATACCGTGGTTCTTCTTTACACCAGAATAAGCCAATTCGGGTGAACTTCAGACCCATGGCATGATGCACTTTTTCGACCAACTACTCTACTAGTCACTCTTACAAACATAATTTTTTAAATTTATTTTCATTTTCAGCCAAACGAAAATATGCTCGTTAGAACTTGTAGCAGATCATACATATTTCGACTACATGGACTTTGATGTATCAAAAATCATCGCAGAAATGCTTTTATACATCAAGATCGCCGATTACATATTCCGAAATACTGATTTCGACGAAGACGGTCTCAAAGAAGATATCACATTCAGTGTTGAGAAAATTACCGTTATGGAAACCGATGGTCATTTCCGTGATATTTTCGGAATCCAAACCAATGATTACAAAGCATTTCTACAAAGCTTGACGAAGTATCATCATCCATATTGCATGCTTATCTGCTTCACTCACAGAGATTTTTGGACACCTACTCAATGCGCAGTTTCCAAAATCAATAAGATCGGAGGAATCTGTCCCGGACCGAAACCATTAGAAAAGAATAATAACGTTGGTTTTGTTACCAATTTAGAAAACAAAGAAATTATTCCTCGATTTAGAATACCGTTAAATTTAGTACACCAACTGGGACATGCATTCGGCTGCCGAGACGATCCTGAAGATAATCAATTTTGTAGTCCTGGTGATTTAAATCCCAGACATGGAAATTATATAATGCATCCGAATATATCGTATGGTGCTTTCAAGAACAATTGGAAATTTTCTACCTGTTGCAAAAATACTGTAAAGAACTTCATACAGCAATCAAGTAAATATTCTAAATGTTTTATAGTTTAATATTATTTTTGAAATGAATCATTTTCTATTTATATAAGTTAAATAGAAATTTAATTTTTCAGTACTATTTTTCTAACTAGGAATAAAAACATGTCTATTGAGAAGAGATTTATCCAACTGCGGAAATGGAATCGTAGAAGAAGGAGAATTGTGTGATTGTGATTCTTCAACAGAAAATTGCACAGCTGTTCACAAGTGTTGCAGAATTAATGAATACCCGTCTCAGTGTACACTGAGAAATGGCATGCTTTGTTCACCTAGCAAAGGACAATGCTGTGACGACAATTGCGATATTATAGAATATCGAAAAAGGCAACCATGCTTCAGTAACATAGAATGTTTTAATAATACTTCATCTTGCAATGGACGTTATTCATTTTGTCACGGATCAATGCAACCAGACGGGACACCTTGCAGACAAAATTCTCGAACCTGTCACAAGGGACACTGCAAAAGCAACGTCTGTTTGGATCACAGTATGAAGCTTTGCCAATGTAAGACTCGTCATTCGGAATGTCATATTTGTTGCATGAATGAAACGCGTACATGTCGAAGCGCAAAAGACTTCCAATTTTTTCCATCTAAAGACGAACTTTATTTGAAAATTCCAGGAACTTCTTGTGATAGTGGATACGGAATATGTTCAAGGTATGGTTACTTTATACAATACGCGCATTTTATTAATGTGTAGTTGTGAACGTAACAGAAGTTATACAATTTCTATGCAATATTTTCTTTAATATTTACAATTAATCTTAAAATGCAAGGCAATACTTATTAACTTATACTGGAACTAGAAAGAATTAAACAAATTACCACATTTTTAAATATTCCAGCAAATAATTTAATATCGTAAGAATGTTTTCGATCGTCTTTAACGATCTTCTTCAGTTAAATAATAAAGTAAAAAGAAAAAATATAATAAAACATCAAACACTTGATGAGCTTACTATTAATTTAATACTCAAACGCTTTCAGCCTATTTCTAATAGGCCATCCTCAGGAATTTGTTCTACAATCGAACACAAAGCTTTTCGACCACTCTTTAAATTAAAAAAAAATTAAAACATATTTTTAAAAACTTTACATTAAACTGTAAAATATTAAATATTTAACAAAATACTAACATAATATATAATTAAACAAATGTACAAATAAACTAATATAACGAAAATATACATAAAATCAATTAAAATACAACCGCCACAAGTTTAAGAGTTTTTAATTCCCATTTCGTTTTCTATCACGTATTTCCATGCCGTTGGAAGAGCATTAGCGTCTTTGGCATTTAAGCAATTGTTATTTACTTTACTCTTATATATTTCCATTTTCTCCATACCTAACACAATCGTCGGAGAACGGACCGGTTTAATTATTCTTGCCTCATCCCATTTTACATTTGCTCTCTCCGTTTGTGCCATGATTGCCAAAATGGTGTTGTTGTCATGTACTAACGTCATACATGTGCTCTTTTATATGTACTGCCAAGTTTCTTGTGGTGACACCCACATAATCCTTTGTCACTCCTAACTGCTGATTTTCAAAAGGAATTCTATAAACCCCAGCCTTCTCTTTCATTCTTACTTAGTCCTTATCATTTCTTAGCAATCTATAGATGTTTGGCGCTCGTTTATATACCGTTCTCGTGTTTTTATATTTAGATAATTTCTCCATTACTCCCTCAACATTCCTGTTATACGTAAACTTATTAAACCTATTTTCTCTATTATCCCGTTTGCTTGCATCTTGTCTGTAACCCTTGACTAATCCGTCAATTGTAGATGTTTTGTATTCTAAACTTTTCGCAACTTTCTTAATTCTACTAATCTCCCTAAGTCGATCGTTATGTACGTTGTTACATTGTACGTTGTACTGTACGTCATATGTACGTTGGTACGTGTATGACGTTAGTAAAGGACACAACAACACCATTTTGGCAATCATGGCACAAACGGAGAGAGCAAATGTAAAATGGGATGAGGCAAGAATAATTAAACCGGTCCGTTCTCCGACGATTGCGTTGGGTATGGAGAAAATGGAAATATATAAGAGTAAAGTAAATAACAATTGCTTAAATGCCAAAGACGCTAATGCTCTTCCAACGGCATGGAAATACGTGATAGAAGAGGAAATGAGAATTAAAAACTCTTAAACTTGTGGCGGTTGTATTTTAACTGATTTAATGTATATTTTCGTTATATTAGTTTATTTGTACATTTGTTTAATTATAAATTATGTTAGTATTTTGTTAAATATTTAATATTTTACAGTTTAATGTAAAGTTTTTAAAAATATGTTTTAAATTTTTTTTTTTAATTTAAGGAGTGTTAGAAAAGCTTTGTGTTCGATTGTAGAACAAATTCCTGAAGATGGCCTATTAGAAATAGGCTGAAAGCGTTTGGGTATTAAATTAATAGTAAGCTCAGCAAGTGTTTGGTGTTTNGTCTACGAGACACCGAAAGTTCCTAAAACACCAAAATTTTTCATTATAAAGCCCCAATATATATTATTTTTCTGTATATTGGGGCTTTATAATTTAAATTTTTCTAAGAGAATTTCAATGCTTTCTTCAACTAAAAGATCAATTCAGAAGTATTGTACGTTTGCTTGTCTGACCTATCTAGATGCTCTTTATTCATCAGGTTATGGTTCGAATTCTTCTTCCTTTACATACATAAAGCTGAGATAATAACTCAAGAAATGCATTGAATGATTTGTTCTTTGGATAGATTAATAAATTAAGGGTAATAATCAATGTTTAAAGAAGTGAGGAAATAGGAAATAAGAATTTTAAAGGATTAAAAGCATTATAGACGAAAGAAGGAGCGTATTATATTAGAAACATTGAATTAATTTGGATAAGGAAAATGGAAATGGCCCAAAGGGATATGGAGATAGAAAATTAGTTATTTGATCTTTTTATTTTAGTATATACATATATAAGTTTCTTACTTTACATTAATAAGGAGATGAGATGGAAAGGAAATGAAAAGTTAGATTTAGGAGAGTGCATGATTGAAAGATTCACCATTACAAAATATTATGAGTATAGTCTTATATTAAAGATAAGAAAGCTGATTTTCATAAATTTCTAAATGTATTTAGTAAAATATAGAATTTCTTTCTGAAAAATTTCGTAGTGATGCAAGGGATGAAAGTGATAAAAAAAAAGTGTTTCAAACATGGAATTTTATGAAATTTTTGAATTTCTTTGTTTTTCGATCGTATTTATTTTTATTTAATTTAAAGAATAGAATGTTTTTTTATGTACTTCTTAACAATTTGTATAAATTATTAAAGATTTACAAATAAGAAATGAAGATAAAGATCCTGCATCAGAGAGAAAAGTCAAATGTTTAAAGATGGAGAGAATGCTGGCTTTAAATCTAATAAAACTTAACGAAATTCATATTTATAAGTTACTTAAAAGCGTAAAATTTCTGTAAAATTTCATTAAAATTCATATTAATTTGCATACATATTAATAATGCTACGAAAGAAGTAAATAGTGTTTCTAATATGTTATTTTTTTTAGTTTTAAACAGGTGTGTTCTTCTTCTTTATATATGTATATATATATATATATATATATATATATCCCTATCTTTTTGTATTCATTCCATTAAGCACACATCATTACAAACGCATGCGCAGTTATTATTTTTTCGTAATTTTAATTTATGTTCTATTTCTTTAATGTTCTTACAATATTAAATTATTTGCTGGAATATTTAAAAAGGTGGCAATACTTATAAAATGTAGGTTTCATATCGAAACAGAAAAAATTATTTTCTAGATTTGTTGTCATATCTGCTGGTTATAAGAGATATTGACATATTGTAGATTTTTCTTGACGACGAAAGCTGTTGTACTCTACATTTTCCACTATGTCCTTGTAATATATTATATACTTTAATATAATATCATTTGACGTTTGTACATAAATACCAGGGCTGTGGATTCGAAGTCGGAGTCGGAGTCGTGGAGTTTTGGTGTTTTAGCCGGAGTTGGAGTCGTCAAAAAATCCGCCGACTTCGACTCCTTTTTACTTTCCAACTTCTTATGTATATATAACGAAAAAGTATTGGAATCGTGTCAAATTTGACCCTCCAAGTCTTTTTTGCAAATCTACACGAACCCCCCAAAAAAGTCAATAAAAGGGGGAAAATTTGCGCGCGTGTGTGTGTTGGCGTCTAATTTGTTTAATTTCTTTATTTTCTGTTCTGAGATATTAAACAATATCTCAGAATGGGTAAAGTTTAAGAAACGAAATGTGGCACTGTAGCTTGCGTATAAAGGGGGCATTAATACTATTAAATTTTGGTTCTTAATTAAATGTCGACAGAGTGAAGACATAAAAGGGGTCATATGTCATATGTCTTAATGAATATTTTACACGTTATTAGCGTTCAAAATTAAAAAATAATAGGCCTAATAATAAAACTCGTCGCTACCCTCAAAGTAAGCTCTTTTGTCATTTTATTATATTACAGTAAAGCCTGTTTAGATGTTCTCGCCTAAGATGCTAGAATGTATATGGGGACACGATTTAGTTCAACTACTTTGACGCTTAATAACTAATTCTTGTGTTAAACCATCTGACTCCGATTCTGACCACTCTGACCACAGAAATTATTAGGCTTCAAACAGGGTGACAAAATCATGCCCACGCACACAGTCTAATATCCACACATAGAAAAAAACCTCGAATCTTTTGCATATCTCGGAATTTCAAGACGTCCTGAGTCCAAAAATGTAAAAATTTGGGAGGGGATATTATTCGACTGAGCGCTATACTTTCTCTCTGTTATATATATCAGTGTCCCGCAACCGGTGTGCCGCGGTACACTGATGTGCCGTCACATGGTGAAAGGTGTGACGTGAACTTTTACATATTTTGTTAATTTCAAATTTTATTTATATATTTTTATCACAGTTGTTGTGTTTCTTATGCTTGTATTTCATTCTCTGCTGCAGTACTCATGAAATAAGATGATGTTTGTTTATTCTTTATTACAAGCCAGGCATTTTTATGTATTCTAAGAAATTATATGTAAAAAAAATTTGCTTACAGGTGTTGATGTCTGTTTAATAACAATAATAATAGGTTAATGGCATTACGTAATTCTATTAATAGTTTTTGAGGGGAATAACATCATACGTTTTTGAGGGGAATAACATTTTGGTGTGCCGTGTTGAAGTCATGGGT